TATGCCCCAAATTTATATTTGAATTGCAGGTTAACGGTGAAAATGTCTTGAGAATTACAGAAACTCCCCTTTTCTGTGCATTCAGTACTTGCCAGATGAGAGCAGTCAATCTCCTGATCTGTAGTCTTTGCTTCTTAGATTCACTTCTGTCAGTCTCTTGGCTGTCAGAGTCCCAGCTGACTGAAGAGCTGGGCTGCTGAGCTCTCCAGGTGCCACCTCAGAGCACCCTGAGCTGTGCAGGATGTGGAAATGTGGAAGTGGCCCCTGTTGCCAGCTCTGCAAACAGTTATAGCTGAGGAATGTGAGTGCAAAGCCTGGGCAGTGGAGAAGCAGCCAGGGATGGACCTTCCCTGGGAGGAACTCGGGAGGGTGAGGAGAGGAAGGCCCTGTTTGGCTTCTCAGTGCCACGACCTCTGTGCCATGACCTTGCTTAGTGCTGCTCAGGGAGGCCTTTTGTCCTCTCTTAGTCAATAGGTGTGAGCCTGATTCACTAGGTTGTGGAGGAATTCTAGACAGCATGAGCCCTACCAGCTTCCTACCATTACACCGAGTCCTTGCTCTGGTGCCTCCCCTGAGGAAGATGCTCAGCTCTTTGTTCACGGAGGAATTCAGCTGAACATCTCCAGTGGGAGCTCCTGATAAGGACACTCACCTGGACAGTTCAGTTAAACAGTTGCTTTTTAGGAGAGAAAACTGGGCTGAAAGAACTTACGAAAAATAGAAGAGCACTGTTAAGTTAAACCAGTGATTTCATCATCTTAAGGGAATCATAGCCTCTGTAAGGGCAAGATGTGCTGCTGCTGGAGGAAGCCAATTGCTATCCCAGAATAGTTAGGGTTGGAAAGGTACTCTGGAGATCATCTAATCCAACCCCCATGTCCAGACTGATGGGAGGGGAATTCAGCATTAAGGGCAGGTCACTGATGGCTTTCTTTTCAAGGAAGTTTTGCAAGAAAAGTCTTGACCTCAAGTGTTCCGTGTGCCTGTCTCTTCCTAGCTAAACAAACTGGTCCTTTCAGTCACAGATCTGCAGCACAGGAGGCTTTCACTGTTTCACTGCAGCTCTTACAACGGTTCTAGACTGATCAAGGCAGCCACTCTCAGATACCTGAACTGCTGTTGATGTTCATAGTATTTATAAATGACAGAAACTGCTCCTGCAAGCAGCCCCTTGTCTTTCTCAACTTCCTTGTGTCCTGTGTAACTAAGGAGCTGGATGACAGACTAGTCTGAAATATTGACCAGTTTCCTCTGCGAAAATCAAGTCCCTTTTCCAACAAAAGACCCTAGAAAAGGAACTGTTACTGTCCCCTGCAGCAGGAATACTTCAGTATTCCAGGGGCACAGTTAGGTGGAGGGCATTACCCATTACTTCTAGGCAGCACAACGTGCAGACTTATTAACTGTGAGTCCTAATGCAGAAGATTCTGGTTTTCTACATACACTGCTGTACTTGTGCATCTCCCAGAAATTCAGTGACCTCTCCCCATGGCTGAGAAGCTCTCACAAGCAGGATGTCAGCTACCAATTGGCTCTGCAAAGTGTTCTGGAATTCATTCTGAATATATTTTTGCTTTCTATGTGGAAAAAAAAAAAAAAAAGTATAAATTCTCATTTTATGCTGTATTTTGTACCTTAGTTGTGTTTGAAAATGTTTTGATTTTTGAAAACAATCAAAATAAAACAATGGCATCTTTGTATCCACTTGGCGTGTGTGGGTGGTGATGCTCCACCGCTGAGCTGCTGTGCTTTCCTGCCCAACAAAAACCAACTTTCTGGAAAAAACTGAGCTCTCTGGACTTGACTGCAGCAGACATCCTTCCCTCAGTGTGATGCTGGCTTGAAGCTTTTGGAATGCAACTTAATTCCACCCCATTACTCCCCTCCACACCTGTCACAGTTAACTGGAATGGGCAGACACTCCATCCTGGGCTCCCACTGGAATTATTACAGAACAGGCTTCAGTCCAGGTATTTATCATAGAATTTATTTCCCATTGATTGCTTTCTTGAAGTTTTTGGGTTTTCGGTGATGGCTCTTGAATTTCTTCTTTAAAGGACCTGTCTGTTTCTGTAGAGAAAAAAAAAAGTTAATCAGCTTATTTCCAACATCCAGATCAAGCCTTGCCTGAGACAGCTTAAACAGAAACTGGGTGTGATCTCCTTCAACAGCCAGAATGAGCCCAAGTCTGCTCATGAAGCCAGGATCCTGCAGCTCAGCAGCCCTTTCTGATGGTTTCATTAGGTACAAACTGACAGGCTCCCTGCAGCAATGAATCCAAACTTTACCCAGCCCTTTCTAATTGGACACTCATAAAGTAAGGTAGTGCCTCAAAAGTAGCAGAAAAATGGTCTAGAGGGACTCCATGACTGCAAAAGTTTACTTTTTTGTGTATTTAGAGAACAATTGCAGTACCCACAGGACACACATCAGCTTTCCTTCCACAATGGTGTGGGGCAGGAGCCCACCCTAGATGAGCTCTTTGTACAGGCAGGAACATCCCTCACTACCCCAGCCAGGATAAATATTGCCTGGCAGGAATTCACATCTCAGAATGCAAGTCACTGTCTGGCACACAGGGAAAAATCTATTCTGAACAGCTTTGCACCTTCTGCTGGTTCCCAGACAGAAATAGCTGGCACACCTACGGGCTGGGATCCCAGCTGCACAGGCAGTGGGATGTCTCCCACCTTTCCTCTCTTGCCAGCTGCTCTGCTGCCGTCCCTCCTCGCCCCGTCCTCTCCGTTCTGCTTGGCCCCGTCGTCCTCGCTGTCTGTCACGAAGTCATCGCTGCCCTTTGTGGGCTCTGCAGCTGATGGGTTTTTTTCTGGGAAGAGCACAGCTAAAAAAGATTCAGCTCAAAATCAGTTCCCTGTGCACACAGGCTCTGCCTCCCCTCGCTTTGCTTTAAAGCTGCTTTCAGTCACCACATGTCACTACTGAAATACTTTAGAAATAAACACGCTGGTGTTTTATTGGAAATGTGCCTTAGTGCTTTCTATTCCCATTCTGGGAACATCAGCACAGGTGGTGCCACATGTTACACCTCTGCTCCTGCAGCAAGATGGATTTGCATCTCCAGACCTAAGCAGAACGGCCTGACCACCTTCTGCCCAGGATTTGCTGAGAAAACAAGGAAAGTGGAGATTTCTAAAACAGCAAATCCCAGCAGATCTCATATCCCTTCCCTCACACCTTGCATGATCCAACTTGTTATTAGCATTGACTATTTCTTATTTGGTGGTGGTAAGCTTTTCTGAAACCAAGAACTCCCAGCTGGATGAAGTCAGGTGCCTCTGGCACACCAGCATCAGGCAGCAGTGTAACAAAACCAGGAGACAATTAACCAAGCAACTCCCTTGAGGCCATGGATGACACCAAGGTTCTCACTCACGTGGGTACAGGTCACTCATGCTGTCATCTGTCTCCTCTCCATCCTCCTCGCTGGACTTTGGCTCCCAGAACTCCTCTTTCCTGCGAGGCTGCCTGCTCCCGTTCATTTGGTCATCAGGGTGCTGTGCCTGCTGCTTCTTCTGCCTCAGGCAGGCAGGGACGTACTCCACTCCTTCCCTCTGGCATTCCTCATCTAAGAGAGAGGATCAGGCAGCACTGACCAGCTGCCCAGCCCCTGAGTCCTTCCATTCCCAGCTCAAGCTTGTAGGAAATGCAACTCAAAAGTCCAGCATGCTCCAAATATACACCTACAGCAACACTACGGACCAGGGAAGATGTTAACACAGATTGTGCTGGACACATGAATCACACTCCCTGGGGGAGTTTCAGAGCTGGTTCTCTTAAGGAAGGATGTTCCAAGGTATTTGCCAGAAGCCAATTGCTCCCTATATTTGAGACCTTCCTTCCTAAGTGAGGAGGACACAGTAATGCACTGTTGTCAATTTAAACAAAGCTGTCCCACGCACTTCAGAGAGATCCACCAGAATCTCAACAGCTTGGGAAAGAAATGCTGCCTGGTACAGCTTCAGAAAAGCTACTTACACATTTTCAGGGCCTTCTGGTAGCGCTTCCCTTGGACATGACGCAGGACGTGCTCTGGAAGCTTGTTGATGTGTCTGAGGGTGAGCTTGCAGAACAGCTGGTGTCTGACAGACACAGAAAGGACCAGCAACAGAGTTAAAGTGTGCTCTGACTCCAGAACTTTTCAGTTACAAGCACTGCAAGATGCTCAAAGCTGATAAGTACTTTATAAAGCCTTTCCCAGTCTCCCCACACCCATAAAGACCTAAGAACTTTGTAAAGCCCAACCACTTTATGTCTGAGATTGAACAAAGTGTAAAGCACAACACAGGAGGGAGAATACGTACAAATTCTTCGTGCTGGGCACAATGTGGGGTTCAAACGAGCCATAGTCGAACTCTCTGGCTGCCTTTGTGAGCCGCTGGTACTTCTTGCCGCTGGTGTAAGCCTGCAGCTCGGACAGGCGACAGGGCAGCTCATGTCCTGTCAGCCTGCACCTCACCTGAAAACAACATTAATGGCCGGGAAACCCAGGGGTTTAGCCCACCGAATCTCAGAATCCATTCGGATGGAAAGAAACCTGCTGAGATCATCGAGTCCAACCCACGACCGACCCCACCTTGCCAACCACACCGCGGCACGCAGTGCCCGTCCAGTGCTTCTGCAGGCATGGGGACTGCACCACCTCCCCGGGCAGCCCTTCCAGGGTCTGATCCCCCTTCCCGTGCCCGCCCCACGGCAGACCAGCGCTCTGCTCCTCGCCCTTCCAGCGCTGGACAAACCCCTCGGGCCAGCAGCTCGCTGGGGCCGAGCCCATCGGGTACCACGCGGTGCCGGCCCCATCACGGTCCCTCACGGTGCCCCCCAGCCCTCACACGGCCGCACCTTGCCGGGCCCCGCGGGGCTGAGCAGCGGATGCTGCCTCAGGAAGAGCCGCTCCGCCTCGGGCAGCTCCGGCACGGCCATGGCGAGGGGCCGGGCCCGGCCGCGCTTCCCGTTCCGGGCCGGGCAGGGCGGGGCCGGGCCGGGCCGGGGCTGCCATGGCCGCGCTGCTGCTGCTGCTGCGAGCGGCGCCGCGGCTGCTGAGGGAGCGCCGGGCCCGGGGCAGGCTCGGGGCAGCGGGGCCCGCACGGGTAAGCCGCGGATCCGGTCCTTCGAGCCCGTCCCCTCATCCTGTCCCCTTATCCAGTTCTCATTCAGTTCCCTGATCCGGTCCTTCGAGCCCCTCCCCTCATCCTGTTCTCATTCAGTTCCCTGATCCTGTCCTTCGAGCCCGTCCCCTCATCCTGTCCCCTCATCCTGTCCTGATTCAGTTCCCTGATTCGGTCCTTCGAGCCCGTCCCCTCATCCTGTCCCCTCATCCTGTCCTGATTCAGTTCCCCTGATCCTGTCCTCTGATCCTGACCCCTCATCCTTGTCCTGATTCAGTCTCCTCATCCAGTCCCTTAATCCAGTTCCCTTATCCAGTTCTCTCATCCAGTTCCCTCATCCCATCCCTTTGTCCTGTCCCCTGATCCTGTCCCCTGTAGGCATTTGTTTCGGTCAAGAATAGATAAAGCTATTGTGTGTTTGCTGATAGCATGGATGGAAGTTCATTGCTCTGCTGTAGGCAACTCTGCAATGGAAATTCTATCTTGTTTCATTTCAATTATAGCCTAACCCATAGTGTTTCACAGGCAGTTGCTCATTTGAGACTTAAATCAATGGATAAACAATATTTCATATACTCATCAATCGTTGATATCACCTAAATACAAGTTTTATAAAGTAGCAACATTGCAAAGGATCTTTCTTATTCTGTCTAGGCATCACAGTGCTTGATCAGAAGAACAGTTTTTGGGTGCCCTCTAACTAAAGGAGGTTCTGGTCTGGTTCAAAAGACTAAAGGTAAGAAAATATTTGTCTGGGCTTCTGCCCTGTTTCACCCTAGTACCAAGATGTAATATTTCCTGCAGGAATCTGACATCTCTTCTCTGAATCCTGTTCCTCGTTCTTTTTTTCTGTAGATGCTTTTTTGAGGTTCTGCAGACCACGAAGTTCTACAGCAGCTGCTGGCACATCTGGAGAGGATGCCTTGCTGAAATGGGGCCTTCTCCTCGTCCCTCTGACCACGTTCGGCCTCGGCACATGGCAGGTACAAATAAATATTTTATTTTTTCAAAAACTGAGCACTTGAAGACTGTCAAGTTTTTCCATCTGTTTGATCTAGCTCATACAACAGGCAGGTTTAAAGATTTGCTGTTATTTTACATTATTCTTTTCCAAGTGTCCTCTTGTAAATTTTTAAAGGAAGTATTTTTTACACTTTTGTTTTAGTGTAAATATTTCCTCAAATTAAATTCAGTAGCCTCTATTTTCATATCTCCAATTACCCTGATTTAGGCCAGGTCTGATGAGAAAATGATGACCAAGATTTTAAGGCTTGCTGGGCTTGTTCCATTGCTCTGTTCTACCCTAAGGAGTGACTTTTGTGTTTTTTATTTCCAGGTTCAGCGGCGCAAGTGGAAATTAGATTTGATTGCACAGCTGGCATCAAGAATCAAAGCAGATCCCATCCCTCTGACATTAGAGTATGGAAACAGGGATCGTTTGTTGTCTACAGAGCACTGACTGGGAATATTTGATATGGACTGTGAACTAATGAGCTTGTGCTGAACTGCCCTGCATGAAAATGAAGGGATGCAATGGAAATTGGGATGTGCCAGCAAATTAGAAAGAGATCCTGATAATTTTTTTATTTTTAGTAAAAGGATATGTCAGTTCTTTCCTATGAGATACTGTAAATGCATGGGGAAGGATGAATCTCTGTTCAGGAGAATGTGGGATGTAATTCATAGCATTTTTAATCCTGCTGGGGAAAGAGGACTTGGGTGTCTGTGGTATCCCAAAGAATTTTTACTGCAACAGGGAGTCTTGGAGCAACAGCAGGCCTTGCCCTACATGTGGAACAGTTGTGTCAGATGTGAGAGAGATTTTTAAGGTCACTTGGTCACCTGGCACAGCTCTCAGAAGGGCTCAGTTGTTGGATTTCATGGTCTGGGGTGGGAAATAAACGCTTCCCATGGCTGGATGCACAGGCACTGATTCCACCTGCTCTGTGGTAGCTGGGTTGCAGATACTGTGGAAAAGAGCTTTTCCCTGCATGCTCCTGATCATCTCTAATTGATTCTCCAGGACAGTTGAAATATATTAAGCCATATTCCATGAGCTGTTTGTCTTCTGTCCCTGTGTGCCAACAGGCTCCATGCAGAGCAAGCCATTAGGAAAAAAGGAGAATCCCACAATAAAATCTCCTGATTGTGGAGATTCACAATTCACCTAGCACAGCCATAATTTTGTTGTCCTCTTTTTCCATGCAGCCCCATGGAACTGAAGGAGTTGGAGTACAGACCTGTGCAGGTCAGAGGGCGTTTTGACCACTCCAAGGAGCTCTACATCCTGCCCCGCTCGCTGCTGGACCCCGAGCGGGAAGCCCGGGAAGCCGGGAGGATCACATCCCGCCCGGAGAACGGAGCCAACGTCGTCACCCCCTTCTACTGCACAGAGCTCGGGTGAGTTAGGAGAGTCCTGCTCCATGGGAGCACTCACTTCTCCTTGGAAAATCTGAATCCTGGTGGTTGGGTTTGTATCTATCACTCACAGAATTCACAGAATCCCCAGGTTGGAAGAGACCTTAGAGATCATCGAGTCCAACCCATGTCCCAGCACCTCAACTAAACCCTGGCACCCAGTGCCACATCCAGTCTGTTTTTAAACACATCCAGGGATGGTGAGGCCACCAGCTCCCCAGAACTTTATCACCCCTTATCAACTTTATCACTGGCCATTCCAGAACTTTATCACCCTTTCTGTAAAAAACTTCCTAATATCCAACCTATATTTCCCTGCCTTAAAAGGCATCTCTCAGTCTATGACATTACTGAGGCTCAATGTGAAATTGTATTTAAATTCCTTTATAATGTGCATTCAGGTGACAGCAAAAGTGGCAGTAAATATGTGGGTTGCTTCTTTCTTTGGTCTTTAGCTCTAGGCAGCAGCAGGAATACATTCCCTTTCACTCCTGAACGGTGCTTCTTTATGTAACTCTAGGGTCACAATTTTAGTCAACCGAGGATTTGTGCCCAGGAATAAAGTGAACCCAGAGACCAGGCTGAAGGGACAGGTAAGGGGGATCCAGGGAATGGGGGGTGTTACTTTGTGCCCCTTGGTTACCCAGAGGCACCATCAGTAACCCAGAAAGGCAGGAGCTATGTTCAGCATCGATATACTGATTCAACATATATGATTTAATTAGTCATTGCGCTTTCCAAAGACAACAAACCTTTGTTTCCCACCTTTTTGTTGAGTAAATAATGTGTTTTATGAACAAGGAGCTGTTCTTGTTCTGCTTTTTTCCCTGATGTGTTACAGCACTGCCCCACTGCAGGGAACAACCACTTCATTTATGCTCAGACCCTTCAGGTGCCGCATTTTCCTGACAGGACTTGATGTATCAGAATACAAATCAATCTTGAAACATTTTTTCTTTCTGCACTCCTCCTCAGATTGAAGATGAGATTGATCTCACAGGGGTGGTGAGACTAACAGAAAAAAGGAAACCCTTTGTGCCTGAAAATGACATTGGAAAAAACCGCTGGCATTACCGGGACCTGGAGGCCATGGCCAGGGTGACTGGTGCTGAGCCCATCTTTATCGATGCAGATTTCAGTAAGTCACAGAGGAACCCAGCCCCATGTCCAATTTACATCTCTCCCTCCCTTTCCCTTAGTTCTCTTCCTGTGCTCTGCCAGCCCACTGTGTTGAAGGTGACAGGGAGCCTAGGAGAGCTGGAGGAGGATTTTTGCAGGAGCATCAAAGATAGGACAAGAAGGAGTGGCTTCAAACTGCCAGAGGGCAGAGTTAGATGGGGTATTGGGAAAGAATTCTTCCCTGTGAGGGTGGGAAGGCCCTGGCACAGGTTGCCCAGAGCAGCTGTGGCTGCCCCTGGATCCCTGGAAGTGTTCCAGGCCAGGTTGCACAGGGCTTGGAGCAACCTGGTCTAGAGGAAAGTGTCCCTGCTAATGGCAGGGGGTAGAATGAGACAAGGTTTAAGGTCTTTCCAACCCAAACTATTCTGGGATTCTGTGAACTTGGGAACACCACTGCCTGAGGGAGAGCAGGTTATCCATCAGATTAATCACTTTCTTCCCCTCTTACACACGGTGCAGCTCCACACTCTGCAGGTAAGGATTTAACTTGGCTGTGTTGTCCCCACAGGAAGCACAGTCCCAGGGGGGCCCATCGGGGGCCAGACCAGGGTGAGCCTGCGGAACGAGCACATGCAGTACATTGTCACCTGGTAAGGAACGAGCACATGCAGTACATTGTCACCTGGTAAGGGACCAGCACATGCAGTACATTGTCACCTGGTAAGGGACCAGCCTGCCTGGGAGCACTGCCCGAGCTGCTCTGGAGTGCCTGGAGGAGCTCCTGAGCTACAAAAGCCCACTTTGAACCTAAATAGCTTGTGCCAGGTGGTTTGACTTGGTTATTGCAGCTGTCTTAGGGAGGCCCAGTCCACCCTGGAAAGGTGCCAATGTGTGGTTTTCTCTCACAGGTACGGTTTGTGTGCTGCAACTTCCTTCCTGTGGTATAAGAAATTTATACAGAAGCTACCTGTGTGAGGGGAAGAAACATCTTTGTGCTACAGTCAAGAACAGACTTTTATGGATGACAGGAGCCTGATCAGTCATAAATAACTGAAGCACCTGGAATTCCAAAGCAGTTTCAACAAACATTATCAAGCTGCAAATAGACTTTAAGCAATCCCTGCAAACTGAGCTCCCACCACTGTCATTTGGCTGCAGCTTGGGAGCACTGAACTTCAACAGTAATCACAAGAATACATTTTTCTAACGTGGTTGGTTGTAAGCTACAATTTTAACATCTCCATTTTTTTTCCTTACGACAAATCCAGAGGATTTTGTGAATCAGCCTATTTGCAGCAAGTAGGCCTCCCTGAATTCAGGAATGGCTCACAGCAGTTCCAGAATAAATAAAGACCTCCAGGTCTTTGCCTTGTGACACTTGCATCATGCATCTTCCATGGAAGAGCAGTAAACCTCAATTAGAGGTTACTGTGGACACTCAGGTCTAGCTGGGGAAGGCAGCCCAGGGTTTTGCAAGAGGATGAGGGCTGGCAAGAACAAGCAACTACCACAGCTGGAGCCTTGGTAGCCTCCACAGTGCCACCAGACCAAGTCAGCACTGAGGAGAGTCTTGATTGTTCCCCCCTCAGCATGCCCTCACTGCCAAGAGGCAATTTAGATTTGCAAAACCAAGCCAGGCTTAAATCCAGCCCCATCAGCTTCAAGATCCCACGTGCAGCTGAGCTGCTGGGCTATGTGTTCAACAGAGATACTACACAGAACTAGTAATTAAGGAAATGTTCCTTATTCTATTGCAAGGTAAGTAATAACCAGCTCTGTGCAGCCGTTTCTGCCCAACACTATTCTGTCACTGCATGGAAGGCACAGAAATGCAGCAATGCCACTGTGCCTTGAACACTCCCATGAGCAGAGACCACTGGAACAGCTGGGGTTTATTATGTACAGAAAACACGGTGCAATGCAGTACATCTTCAGCCCAGCTTTGTAGCCAGCTCTTTAGCCTTTGCTTTTTCCAGCTTCGCAATGCGAGCCACCGATTTTGGACCCAGGACATTCCCGCCCCAGTGACGACGGATCTGCAAGGAAGGGACAACAAGTTAGAGACCTCATTCCATCTCCCACTGTGGCACTCAATTCTGCACAAGGGGAAGAGCTCCCTCAACTAAAAAGTCCTGCACATTTCAAGCATTCCACTACATTTTGGGGCAGCAAAGAGAGAAGTTTAAAGTCTTTCCCAATGAGGGATATTGGATTCAGCTATGCCTTAACTTCTGGATTTGGGATATGGAATTTAGGTAGCAGAAGCTGTTGCCCTCTCTACAATCCTTGCACTAGGGTTGCTGTTTCCTTCTAACCTGGTGACAGTTTCACATGTTACCCCATCCTCAAGTAAAGAATCTGGGTACACTGTAAGCAAGCAAACCTAGGTGTAATACACCCACGTGTAAACTGATGTTACTATGTCCCATTTGTTAACAGCGTAAAAAGACAAGGCCAGCAGCACTGGCCTTGGAAGAGGAGAGAAATCAGAAAAATCAGAGAATCTTACCTCATCATATCTGTCATTGTAGTTGGTCTTGACAGCCTCCACCAGCTTTGCAAGGGCTCCTTTATCCTCCCTGTTGATGACAGTTTTAATTCTTTTAGAGCCTTGGTTTAACATTTTCCATAAATATTTTGCCATAGAATTATAGAGCTTCTAGTGACAACCCAATTTTTCAGGTTAAGCAAAAGCATCACTTACAAAGGGTTAACCCTCTAAAATCTTGAGGAGTGCACATTCGGAGTAAGCACCCTTTTGGTAAACCAAAATAATCTGCACCTTCAGGATTTGATAGAGACATTTTTAACAGACACTACAAGGTGGTATTTAAATTTTACTATTTCAGACTCAAGTTTGCTACCCACCTGCCCTAGAGCCTGTGCTTAGGGCACTTTGCTTTCTCCACAAGACAATCAGGTGAGCTCCCAGAACACTTACGGGTTAACCTGGGTGAAGGCCACAGAGGTGCAGGTCTTCCTGTGGACGAGCCTGCCCAGCCTGGCTTTGCCCTTGATGATGCAGTAGGGAACTCCCATCTTACGGCACAGGGCTGGCAGGAAAACCACCAGCTGAAAGGGAAGGGAGTGCTGAGTTACTGAGGGAGAACATCTCTTTGTGCTGGCTGTCAGCCTGGGCTGTGGCAATTGCTCAGTGTTAAAAAGCTCGTTTTGCTCTTCACTGCTGCTTCAGGTGAAGAAATTCAAAACATCATTGCAAGGGCCCAGCCTCACTGTCCAACCAGGACAATTACAAACATACACAAGCATCCAGTTCTGGCAAATGTGTATTTTTTTTGTGCATTCTCTTTCATGCAGATTATCCTAAAATCCATTTTTGCCTTAAAAACACTTCTGAACCCCCCCTGAAGTTACACAGGTAGCCTGTAACATGCTCACCTCAATAGGGTCCACATCATGGGCAATAACAACAAGCTGAGCTTTCTTGTTCTCCACCAGAGTTGTGACAGTATTAATACCTGAAAAACAAATTCTAGATAAGCTTTGAGTCCTCTCAGTCCATTTTCAGAGCTTTCTTGCAAGCCAACTCTGATTCCACAGCACAGCATCACTACAGAAGTTACAAAAACTTCTCACATCAGTGGCACAAAGGCATTTCATGGACAATTTGCTAAAGCTCAGGGTTAAAAAGCTCGTCTGTTTTGCTCTTCACTTTGAGCTCAGGTGAAGAAATTCATAACATCATTGCCATAGCTTGTCCAGGCTGGTTGAAGAACCAACTCTTCCATCAGTTTTCTCTCTCACAAAGTGCCACACTCCCATATTCCATCAAAGTACAAAGTTACCTGCTCGGAGGACCGGTGGCCGCTTGGTTGGAGCATCTCCCTTCCCTGCAGCTTTCTGCTCGGCACGAGCCAGTAGCCTCTGCTTCTTCTCTTGCTTATTTTCAGGCCTGTATTTGTGTGCCAGCTTCAGAAGCTGCGTGGCTGGAAGAGAACACCCGCTAATTAGTTGCATGACCTGAAAATCTACGTGTTCCTTCTTAAAAAGAATGCAGTGCATCAGCGATCTTGGTGGTTGTCATCACTTTTTTTCACAGCAAAAAATGATCATCATCTGCACAGTCCAAGAGAGGAGTATCCACTTACATGCAGCTCTGATGGCACTGAGAGCTCCTTGACTGGATGAGGAAATGCCTGTGCACCCCCACAGCAATTATGGTTAGAGGTGGTGTGTGGCTCTTTTAAAGCAAGGAGCATCCATGAGGAGGAAATTATTCTACACAAGTCCAAAGTTTTTTGCATTCACAGGAGACCCCTAAATCCCTTCTTCCTTCAGTGCCAGTTTTCCCCTAAAACCTGCACTCCCATAGGTGTCTCAAGCAATCTGTTTGTATCACCGTGGGTACATCAAGCTGGTATAATGGAATCACAGTTAAGATTTAATGCAGGGTTTGAGTCAGTAAATAAAACTTTGGTATTTTCTGTATCCCTTTTAAGGGTACACAGCAGCAATCCAAGATTTAAGCCAGCAAACTGATTTTGACCCCACCCCAGTCGCTATCAAAGCTCCCCTAAAACACTTCTGCAGACACAGCCCAGCTTACCTTTGTTAAGGCTAATTTGGTTTCTTTCCCCTTTTCTGAGGAACATCCCATTTACAACCCAAGCCAAGAGAACCTTGTGGGGCACATCCTCACCTGTCTGGCGATCCAGGGCCTGGGTGAACTGGTTGATGGCAGGAGGCACCTTTAGGCGTTTGTAGAGGATGGACCTCTGGCGCTGCAGCCGAATGTAGCGTGGCCATTTCACAAACCGGGTGAGGTCACGCTTGGGCTGGATATCCTGTCCTAAAAAAACCACAGCCTTTAGCTCAGGGCTGCCCCAAATCCAGAGCAGTAGCACGGCAAGGCCACAGGAGCATCAGTGATCTTGGTGGTGAAGTGTCAGCACGACCACTCAGATAGCAAATATTCTTTCACATCATCTGCGCCTCGTACAAGAACAGCACTGCACAAACTCTGCAGTGGTTTTTAATATTTATAATTTAGACATCTGTTCATTGAACAAGAAAAAAATCATGGGAGCAACTATCCCAAATATCCACTTACTCACCGATGCCAAAGTTCTTGGGCCTCTTCTCAAAGAGGGGATTGACAACCTTCTTGGCCTCCTGCTTCTTGACTACAGCAGGGGCCGGTGCCACCTTCTTGCCCTTGGCCTTCTTTCCTTTCGGCTGCAAGCAAGAAACACACTCTGCCTTCTTTTGCCTCCAAAACTTGCGTGCTTGGAAAATTTACCAGCCCACCCTAGAAATGCGTGTATTTTTCCAAGCATTTCACCAGCCTGGCCTCCCATGCTCGCCCAGAGAGAGAGGAAATTCTTCGCTTTACACTTACAAGGCTTACAAACCACCCCGAGAGGGAACAGGATTAAAACGAGCGTGATGATCTCTTCCCCGAGAGCAGCCGAAACACCCCCACGGACCACCAGAACCCGACGTACCCCGGGAACGCCCGAGCCGGCAGCAGCCGCAGCCTCCGGGCCCGCACCGCCAGGCCCATACGCGGCCTTCCCCCATCACCGCAAATCGGGCACCGCTCCACCGCCTCCCCCGCCAGCCGAGCACCCTCGCGGCGCTGCCGCGGCCCATCAGCGGCGGCGGATGACAGCGGGCGGCCGCGGATGGCGGCGGATGGCGGCGGATAGCCCGGCACCCCCGGCACTGCCGCCACCACTCACCATCTTGGGCGGAGGGAGAGAAAGGCGGAGCGGGGCATGCCGGGAGGTATTACGGCGCGCGAGATCTCGCGGGGTCTCGCGAGAGCGCGGGGCCGTGAGGGGAGGGCGCGGCCATGGCGCAGCCCCGGGTGCTGCCCCAGAGCAAGGAGACACTGCTGCAGTCCTACAACAAACGCCTCAAGGACGATGTCAAGTCCATCATGGACAACTTCACCGAGATCATCAAAACCGCCAAGGTGGGCCTGAGCGGGCCGGCCGCCCACCTGGGAGCACCCCCGGTGCTAAGCGGGGAAGGGCGGGGGTACGCGAGGAAGAACGGGCTGTGAGGGGAGAACCTTTCGTAGAATCCCCAAATATTAAAGGCTTTAAAGGGACCGTAAATATCGTCTCGTTCCACGCCCTGCCATGGGCAAAGACGCCTTCCATCAGACTAGGTTGCTCCAAGCCCTGTTTCAACCTGGCCTTGGACACTGTGGAATTGAACTGTAATTCACATGTGAATTTCACATGCAGAATTTCACATGCATCATGTGTGATTTCATTTCACATCTATAGGAAATCCACACACATTTCCACATCTATAGGAAATCCACACATATTTCCACATCCATAGGAAATCCACACATATTTCCGCATCCATAGGAAATCCACAGACATTTCCACATCCATAGGAAATCCACACACATTTCCATGTCTATAGGAAATTCACACACATATCCACATATACATTCCCGTATATTGTACCTTATAGTAATTATCTATTTTAATTTTAAATATGTAGAGGTGGATTTGTGTACTTTTTTTTTTCTTTAGATCGAGGACGAAACTCAAGTTTCTCGAGCAACCCAGGGTGAACAAGATAACTACGAGATGCATGTCCGAGCTGCAAATATTGTGAGTAGCACTGTGGGCAGCACATCCTGCAGTGGCTGTTGGGTTCATTTTTGCATCTTCATAACACTCCCAAGGACTGCTGCCAGGAGAGTAACTTCATGCTTAGGGAAGGTTGGGTTAGAATTCTCTCACAATCCTCATATTGTGTGAGTTTTTATCCAAAGTTTAGGTTGATATGGGAGATCTTGGAACTGGAGCAAAGCCGTGTTCTGATGTGTGATTTTTCTCACTGCTGCAAGGTCCGAGCTGGTGAGTCCCTGATGAAGCTTGTGTCTGACCTGAAGCAGTTCTTGATCCTCAATGATTTCCCCTCTGTGAACGAGGCCATCAACCAGCGCAACCAGCAGCTGAGGAGTCTGCAGGAGGAGTGTGACAAGAAGCTGATTGCACTGCGGGATGAGATCTCCATTGACCTGTACGAGCTAGAAGAAGAATATTACTCTTCCAGGTACAAATAGGGCAGTGGACTCTGCCTTACAACTCCAGGCCTTTTTGGGGTAGTTAGTCCAGACCATCAAATAGCCCTTAGAGTATAGGTGTCGAGAATGTTCCAAAAAAAATTTCAGTCCTGCTTTTAATTAGGTCAAACTCTTTCTCTTCAACTAAAGCAACTGCCTTTTCCTTGTAGATACCCTACAGGGTTTAAATGTCCTGGTGAAGGAGGTGTTCACAGCATCCCAGGTTTGATAGGTAATTTCCTTAGGCTTCTGTTGTAATCATTAGAAAAGAAGATGAATTTCCTTGAGGGAGGTCCCTCTAAAGGAGCCTCTGGCTCTCTCCCTGCAGATACCAGCTTGCTGGCTGGGTCCTGATGGCAGCTGGTGTCACCTCACCTTCGTGGTGAGTCCTTTCACAAGTGACCTGGTCACACATTGTGCCTTTTCCTTCACAGTCCACTGCCCCCAGCTGCCTCCAGTCCTGCTGGGGTCAGCATTTGCAAGGAGCAAAAAAACTTGCTCAGTTTCATTCAATAATGAAGTATTGTGATAGGATTTTCTAAGGAATGACTTATTATAGATTTGTTTGTGGGATTTTTAATATTTTTAAAAGCCTCTTGTTTAGCAAACAGACTACAGAATTCAGACACTTTATTTTTTTTTTTTTTTGTCATGCACTCCAGCACTTCTAGTTAATGAAAGCAGAAGAAAATAAATTTAAACTTGGTTATTTTGGCTGCACTTTCCGAGCTAAGTGAAGTCAGTGCAATAGTTTTAGGACTTTTAAACAAAATTTTAAAAATCTTACTTAAAATTTTACTGACCAGGTTTTCTATGTTTGCCTTTTGCATTTTTCTAAGAATGCTGAATGCCTATAACCCCAGCTAAGTCAACTAAATTGCTCAATATATTTGAAAGTAAGGCCATTGTTTATGAATAATATATGTATTTTAAGAGTAAAAAATAATAATATGACACAGCTTAGAGGTAAAAGTTTAGAGTTGTTTTTCCAACTTTATTCAGTTTTTTGAGGAGGTTGTGATGATCACAAACCCAAGCACCTGTGCAGGTGGTGCTAGGTCCATGACATAGCAGTGAGCTTATCCAGAGGGACGTGGTGTGGGATGAGAGTGCCCCACAAGTGCCAGGCATGCTTCCCTCACTCTGCCACCTCTGTGTGCTGGTCACTCCCACTTTTGGACTGAGGGGTTTGGGGCTCTAAGATCACACAGGTTCTGGCCATGCTGGCATGGTCTGTTCACCTGCCTGGCCCCAGGTGCCACATAAAGCAACCCTTGCTGGCAGAACTAATGTGGAAGCACAAATCTCGGTGTACATCAGATGGATTTGCCTTCCTGCTCTTATCTTATGGGTCACGAGGTGAGGAAACCTGGCAGCTCTGCAGAACTGTGATCTGGCCCTTTGTTATCACGTAGCATTTGGTCGTTTGCTTCCTCCCTTCGTGTGCTCTTTCCTGTCTTTTTCTGCACCAAAGAAATTGTGTCTGTGTAAATACAGAAACAGTGATTTATTCAAAGTCCTTTTATAATTAGAATACTACAATATTTTTAATGAAATCTTATTGTCTAATGTGGGGGAAAGGGTTTCTGTTATGTCACGGCCATGTTTCAGTGGCTGTCAACACAACAGCCTGTTTGCCCCCAGAGGGCAGTTCCTTGCTGTCCTGGGAATGCCTGGGCAGTTGTAGGGGCAGGTGTTTGCCAGACTTTTGATGTGCACATGGGGCTTTTGATGAGACCCAAAAGCAAATTCTTGAAAGTAAGCCCGAGAAGATTGTCCTGCAAGAATTTTTGCTTTCCTGCCCTGTGATCAAGTAGTTTTCTAGAGCTGTCCCTCTGCCCTCAGACTGGCTGGGTGCCCCAGGGGAGTAGTGAAGTCCCTTCCACGCCCTGAGGAGCCCTCCCAGGACACAGCAGCAGGCTGGCCAGTGCTCCTGGGCTGTGCAGAGCTGCTCACTGAGCCTGACTTTTGAGGAGCGTTAGCTGAGAGGTGGAGTTTAGACTCTGGAGCTGTTCTAAGTGGGGCAGCAGGAGAAGCAGTCATGCATCTGACACAGCTGAGACGTGGTCAGCAGCTCCCCTGCCATGCTGTGGACAGGTTCTCCTGGGAGGTCTATGACAGAACAGGAGTTGTAGTTCTGGTTCAGTCCTGATGGTCTGTGTTAACTGAACCCAGCTCCACTGTGCTGGGGACTGATCTTCCAAGGGATTTTACAGAAGCCCCAGATATAAACCACTGCCTTCTCCCTTCTCCTGCAAAGCCAGCTGGGTGACGCTGCCAGAAAAGAGCTCAGCTTGCACCTAGTGCTTTGTGTGCTTGTTCCCCAAAGTGGTAACTGCAAGTCCAGCTTGCCCTCTCTCATCCTAACCCCCAGACCTGCATTTGTGTTCCATTGCTCCCTCCTCTGAGATCACAGGAGCTGTCCTGAGTGTGGGGTTAAATCTCACATATTTCATGTTTGTGCAATATGAACTGTCTCATATTTCTATACTTAAAATATTTTCCTAAGCATCAGTCCATACATTACAAATGTAAATAAAGCTGCAACAACAAAATCACTTGACCCACTGGGTTTGTTTTTCTCTGAATGCAAGCTGCTTTTTGCTCCAGCACTCACTTTGTCTTGGGTGTCTCTTGTGTGTGCAGCTCCTTCTTCTCTTTGGGATTTGTTTTGGTTTTGTGCCAGTTCCTTCCATGTTTCTTTTTAGTTTTGGCCCTTCCACATTATGTTTTCCTCAGAGTGGGCAAGAATTAGCCAGTTGTTTAAAAACCTTTTTTTCCCACACTGCTGGTTCATCCAGTGTTGGAGTCCAGCCAGCTGCTTTTAGAAACCCTGTTAGCTCAGGCTCTTTGAGAAAAGGCAGGAGCTGTCAGTATTTTATAATCAAACTGGGAATCTTCAATGGAAGACCCAAACCTGTGGAGCACTTTTTTGAAAGGGCAGGGGTGCAAATAGGGTTCTTCTTTATTGTGACAGGGACAGGCCCCAAAACAATTGTGGCAGGTGTTTTTTCTGAAGTAAAATTTAAAGCAGGATTTCTATTTTTTCCTTACATAGGTTGCACACTAATTCCAAGTAAAATAATTATGGATAAGGTCTATGTTTCACCCATCAGTAGCAGAAGTTGCATATTTGGGGATGCCAGGACTTTAGCTTAGATCTTTTCAGATACTTGGAGTGTCTGGATTAGAATTGAGCCTCTGTTTCATTTTGTAGCCACAGTTCTTCTCTAAAATTGCCCCAATCCTCACCAAGCCCAAGAGATTTTAGGACCGGCCCTTAGGGGGTTGTCTTAGGGAAGGCCAGTGTCACATGATTTAGGATTATTTCATGAACACAGACTTTACATCCAGCTTTTTTTTTTTTTTTTCCATTTTCTTAATGCTTTGCTTCTGTCTTGCTCCCTTCACCCTTTCCATCCCTCCCTTCCTCTGTCACCACACCTGCTCTCTCCTCACTGGGGTTGTTTGTTCTGGAAAGCTACAGTCTGTGTGACAGCAATGATCTCCCGCTGTGCGAAGCCTACTGGAGACAAGACTTTGCCACGCTGTCCCCCGAGAGCCTCTCGATGCCTCTGGCAGCTGCCACAGCCGAGCAGAGCGGTGCCACCTCGCAGAGTTCCACCCCGTCGCACCCCCACGTGAACGGGCACGGGGCGGGCCCCGCCGAGCATTCCTGAAGAAGCTCCGCTGCATTCCTGAAGAGGATCCGGGCGGTTCATCCCGGGATGGCCCCTGCTGCAAGTCTTCCTCCTGCTGTGCTGAGCAGGCGGCTCCTGCTGTCGGGAGGAGGCACTGGAGCTGTGCTGGCAGGGCGCTGCTCCCTGCATGGCTGCAGTGCTTCCTCCATGCCAGGACCTTGCCAGGAGCGTTCCTGTCCCTTAAGAGATAGAGTTATGTAGACACAAAGTGAATCTCATTTGCTTTAACGTGACAGTTCTGTGTAGAGTTCATTAGAAGTCTTAGAAGTTTGTTTCCATGTGAGTGTTGGGAGTTGAATTTCTTTGGGATAAACTTGAGCCAAATGTGGGGGCAGTGAGCGTGTTGGGGTTTTTACTCTGCTTCCCATGGTTATTGACATTCTGGCTGCTTTAAAGCTCTCTCAGGATGGCATCTAACAACCTCTGGTCTACTGTAAAGAGTCTTATAGTATTTTTACACAACAGTCTTCACTGTCAAAATGCTTTACAAACTTGAACTCTTGATTTGGAAGGAGGTCTCGCAGGAGACCCTTATGGAAAAGCAGTGTTCCCCCCATGGAAGAACAGGGATCAGACTGAGGGATCAATGACACCACTTGCTCAAAGCCACAAAGAGAAGCAGCATCATGCTTTAGTCAGTTGATTCCTTCCTCAGTGTTTACACAGAAATTCCTGTTAATGCAGTCTGAGCTAACATGGAACCACTGTTTATGTTGGCTTTTAGTTTTGTCTAATGAAAAAATCTTGAAAGCAGTGAAGAATACTTGATTTCTCTGTTTCCTTCCAAAGAAACACATTTGGTGCTTGGTCTGCAGCTGTTCAGCAGCTCAGCACATCTTCTTTCCTTTTGTTGTGGCTCTGCCTTGGCTCGAGCTGTGCAGCTGAAAGGGAGACGCCACTGAACTGAACAGTGTCACCACAGCTCGGTGTCACGGGCACCAGAGAGCCACCAGGGCATTCCAACAACTGAGCTGAGCTTCCCCAGCTTTCTGCTGTAATGTCTCATTTCTTAGGATGTGAATTTTTGCTTTTTTTGTTTGTTTGTTTCTTTTTCTTCCATTCCATTTATTTTTGTAATTAGGTGACTGAATAAAAATGACTGTTTTGTATAATTTTTAAGGCGTGTGTTTTCAGCCATAGTGTCACAATATGAGCGTGCACATGCGAGGAGGCGGATGAGCTCCCTGCAGCTGTTCCCGTACAGGGGCTGCAGGGAAACCATCACAAAACTCGCCCGTGCTCTGGGCACCTCACCCCGGTGCAGGGCAAAGCTCGGTTTTATCCTCCAGTAAAGGGAGCTTTGGCAAAGAAAGCGGGGTGCGAACCGGGGGCTGCCTGCGGGGAGGTGTCTGCATGGAACGGGGGCTGCAGCCGCCCGGAGAGCCCCGAGCAGCCCCGGCGGGGCTGAGCATCACCGCCGGTCCCGGGGGCGGCTCCGGCCGCGGCTCCGAGCGCCCGGCGCTGCCGTCACTTCCCGGCTGCGCGCTTCATCCATCACTTCCTGCCCGGGGCTCCACGCGGAGCGCTCCGCCATCCCCACGCTGCCCCGGGCACCTCTGGGACCGGGCTGGCAATGGCCAGCCTGGCCGCCCAGGACTCCTACCTGCAGGGCTTGGCCAGGAGGGCCGGCGTGCAGCACGCCCCGGAGTCGCGGAAGAGGAAGTTTGGTACTGGAACGCGTCGGTTCTGTCCTCTCCGGCCGGTTTGTGGGAGGCTGGGCGCGACAGCCCCACGGGGTGCTTGGCCCGCGATTGTGCCGGTTGCTAACAAAAAACCAATCTGCTCAAGCAAGGAGCTCCCGAATGCGTTGTGCACATTGTACTGGAAGCCCTGGAAGTCAGTGGTCTCCATTCACTGTGGTGATGGATGTGGAGAGCTGGAAGTGTGCAAGGATGTTTGGTCTAATTAAATAAATCCTGAAACGTGAAATTTTTGGCCATTTAGATATGCCATTGCGATGCTGGAACATTAACGTTCAGTAGCAACTGAATTTTACGAGTGGGAACATAGCATTGTCCTCTTTTGTGTAATTTGTTTTTTCCTTCTAGTGTCTAAGCCAGGCCAGCCCGAGGATTCTGGTAGACAGGTCAAAAAACAGAAGAAAAAGAAGCCCAAGAAGCAAACTGAGAAGAAGAATGCTCCTTCAGCCAAGCAGGTGCTTTCTAACACCAGTAAACCCACTCCAGGACAGAAAGCAGCACCTCAAGCCAGCAAATCATCTCCGCAGGGTGGTGCACAGAACAGAAAGGAGAGTTTGCCTACTGGTAAGAATTCCAGCTTTGCCATGGTCTGATTAAAGTGACCTGGGCTGAGCTGGCTGCTTTTCACTTGCTTCACACAAGTCTAGTTTGGAAAGCCTAAATTGAGAACATCGTTGCTTATTTCATGTGCCCCAGAAGCTTTTGCCTGTGGACAGGAATTTGTGCCATCACCACTGGGTGGCTCTCTGGAAACGGTGTTTAACTGAACTGCAGAGGTTTTGTGCCTGTGAGTAACTTTGGGAATTACACGTGGACGCAATCCCTGTCCTGCCAGTCCAGCTTTCCTTTATGACAATGAAAAGCCAGATCACAGAGAAAAGATGTCCTGAGCCTCTCTGTTCCACAAGCTTGGGACTTGTCTGTGGCTTGCCAGGCAGCCCCAGGGCATGCCAGGCCCACTGCTGGCAGTGTTGAATGATAAAAGAGGAAATTCTAAAGAAACCAATGGAATAGAAACTCTGGGTTTGTTCGGATTTTCCGTTCCATTCAAAGCATGTAAAGAGTTCCCAGAGTTTTTCCCATAGCCAGAGAAAGTGCTACTGTTCAGCTGATGCTGCTTTTTAAGTATTTTTATTTTCTCCCTCTCATTTTCAGGAAGTAAAAGTGAACTGAGTTCCCCTTCTGTTTCTGCAATCAGTCTGTTGCGTCAGAGACTCCACGAGAAGATTAAAAAGGCTTCTGGACAGGTATGAGGACACTGAATGTGTATCCATATGTGTGTTTGTGCACTTGAAATCCTCCCCAGCCTCCCAGGGCACGTGGGGACAGGATCTCACCGGCTCAGGGTTTGAGCTGATTGCAGATCATAAGGAATTGCCTGTAGGAATTGCCAGGTGACCTGTGCATGTTCTCTGGAAAAACCTATGAGAAAAGAGGGGGTCAGCTTCCAAGAGAACGTGCCTTTGGTGATTTTTAGGCAAAAGCAAAATAGTGAGAGGCTGCAAGGGAGCAGCTACAGGCTGTTGAGGGAAAACAAAGGGTTTGAAATGTTGTTACAGCTGAGTCTAACAGCTGAGTCACAGCTTCACATCACAGGTGGTGCTTCTTGGGAGGAGTTTGAAATCAGGAGCTTGGGGACAGCCCACTTTTACTTCTGCTTTAACCCTTTAAGGCTTCTTATTCATCCTTCTCCTTAGGATAATGCCAAGGAGTTAACCCCTGCAGTCCTGGAGAAGAGGCAGCGAAGAAAGTATGAGAGAGAGAGAAAGAAACGCCGGCGAAAGGAGTTGAAGATGAAAGCAAAAATGGAGAAGAAAGAGACTGAGGAGGCACCAGCAGAGCCAGAAAACAAAAAGGAGGAGAGCAAAGCTGAGATTGTCTTCAACAGGGTTGAAGTTCATGAAGAGAATGACTTAAACAAGGTCCAGAAAAAGAAAGAGAAGAGGAAAGCAGTGAAAGGCAATATCACTCCTCTGACAGGCAAGAACTACAAGCAGCTGCTGAGCAGGCTGGAGATCAGGAAGAATAAACTGGAGGAGCTGAAGGAGAAGGACGAGAAGAAAGCTCAGGAGCTGGAGACCAAGATAAAATGGACAAATGCTCTCTATAAGGCAGAAGGGGTGAAGATCCGTGACGACGAGGAGCGTCTGAAGGAGGCCCTGAAGCGCAAGGAGAAGCGGAAAGCCCAGCGCAAGAGGCAGTGGGAGGAACGGACTGTGAGGGTGGTGGAAAAGATGCAGCAGAGGCAGGACAAGCGCAAGAAGAACATCCAGAAGAAGAAGAAGGAGAGGATAGAGAAGAAGAAAGCCAGGGCCCGGAAGAAGGGCCGAGTTCTGCCAGAGGACTTGAAAAAAGCTGGGTTAAAGTGAGAGGGAGGCAGCTCCTGGCATTGGGGTTCCAGGGTGGGGTGTCTGTCTGTCACACGGGGCTGTGTCACTGTCCCAGGCTGTGGGGCAGGCACTGCCACAGCTTCCCAGCCTCATCATGCTAAAAAAAACAGTTGTATGTTTGTTAATAAAGTTTTCTATACTAAAGAAACACCTTCTGGCTGCTTTCTAATAGGCATTATTATTTTTCTAAAGGGGAAATGTCATTTGCTGTCACTTCCTCTGATGTGCAGCACAGTGTCTTTGCACCCCCCAGGAATGGGAAGGGGGAAACAAAAAGGCAAAAAGACCAAACACGGGATTCACCTCAACACAAAGATACTGCAAGTGTCATACAACCTTTGCTTCTATGAACTTGAACAATGCCTTTGAAAAGAAGAGTGGATCTTTGATACATTTATCCTCCCCACTACACGAAAACTGGAAATAATTTTCAATTTTAGACAGTGCTGTTCATTTGTAAGTTATGTTTTATCAGCATTAGGTCAATATAGACATAAACACACATGCATGGATTTATTATTGTGGAGCTAACTGATCCTTTTGGATCATCCATAGGACACACTGACTGATCCTGATGGTAGAAGGATTGGCAATAATAAAAAATTAGGCAAAAAACAAGAATTCTGGCAACCACAGGTGCCTGCAAGGTTTTCGTCTTTGCACAGTTCACCAGTGCAAAATTTTATTTGGTCATTACCAATTTTGTCCTTTGTACAGAAATACAGATGTGAACTTGAGCAGCGGTTTGCCCAGCTCAGGAGGGAAAGCAGAGCTTGGCTGCTGGCAATTCAGCCTGGGGAAAATGGGTGGGAACAATCTATCCAGAAAATAAAGCAGCTCTGCCCCTGAGATTAATCAAACCTTGCTGATGCCCTCCTGATCTTGGTTGGTGTGAACTGATAATTTGTACTGAGCTCAAAGACATTACAGATTGAGTCTGGTTTGTTGGAATCTGAGGTATTGATGATTCTGAGGTTGTAGAAAGTCTCTGTCTTTCAGCCCCACTACCAAAGCAGAAGCCATAATTGGTCTGTGCTGGTTTCAAGGTTGTTTATTCTGTTTATCTCTAACATGTTCTGCTGCCCTGCCGCAGCTCTGTCCTGCAGGGCAGCGTGTGGGGCTCTGCCCTCAGTGGGATGGTACAAACATTAAATACCACAAACTACCTGTGCTGGATTTACAATAACATGCCAATATCTGTCACCTACGTTGGACAGTGTGTCCCCAGCCTAAACCAACAGAAAAATGCCAACACCACAGTGAAACATGGAGGGCATGAAGAAGGAGAAAAAGGACAAGGCACACCCAATTTCCTCCATCTTGTCCCCTTTGGACCCCTTATCTAGAATCCTAAAATTTTACTTTTGCACCTGTGCCACACTTAATTATTACTTATATCAAACACTCAGAGCTTGTAATTGATCCTGTAAGATTGAAAACTCTTTTCCATGGACAGAGATCACAGTGTCTCTGGGGGCTCTGTCCAGGGGGGTTCCTGACCCCTGCCAGGGTCCCAGGGCAGCCAGAGGGAAGCTCTGGGTTCCCACATGGTTGAATTCTCGAGTCTCTCAATCTGGCTCTTTGGAAGAAGCTCTTTTTTGCCTCATGCCTGAAGCTGATGAATGTGCTGTGAGGGAAATGCAGGCTGTGCTGGCAGTGCTTCCCAGCTGGATCCCTGCCAGAGCCCAGGGAACTCCCTGGTGCCTAACCTGAGACTGCAGGAGCCCCAGCAGTGGATTTGTGCGAAATTCCTGTTCAAGCCTCAGGTGTGACTGGACACATTTGTGCTCCTGCTGCCTGTTCCACACTGGAGTCCAGCAAGGAAAGCTCTCCCTGGGCACAGATGGAGCTCTCCCCATGGATATTTTCTCTTTCTTCACTTTCTGAACAGCCCTGCACTCACAGCTTGCCACTTCAGCTGTAGAAATCTGAAATGCACGTTTGGAAATCTGAAATAGTTGCTCTGCAAAGAATATTTTCCATGGAACGGTCTACAAGTGAGGTATTTATCAGCTGTCCAGAATGCTTTCCAAGCAGGGCTTGAAGATAAAGTAATGCTTTGTTCTGGGAGGTCAAACAAGTTCATTTGGGAGTAACAGAGCTACTTTCAGCCATATCCCTTTTAAAAAACTCTCTGAACAAATTTGAGGAACCTGAGTGGCTATTAAAAATGGTTTAGTTCTGATTTCTACTTGGTTGGAGATTCTTTCATCAGCTGCAACCACATCTATTAAATTGCTGTTTGTATTCATGGTAAACTGTAAATCAGTTGAGGTAAACCTCAGTGAGATGTTTTAGATGCAAAGGATGTTTCAATCTCAGCTGTCTCTAGTGCTCTGGCAGGTTTGTACCACAGAAATTGAAAATAAGGGGGGAATGCATCAGCTGTGCTCTAAATGATGTAATATTTCAAAATATGTGTATTTCTCTTCCTGAGGGATTAGTTGTTTACTCTGTAAAAAGACACATGGAAGTGCTCTATGCCCATTACAGCAGCTGAAAATGCACTAAAATAACCAAACACCCACATCTTTTTTTATTCTGTGTTAGCCCAATTTGAGGACAACTGTTAGTCCCCTTTATTCTCTCTGTTCTTGATCCTCTGTCCTTCCCCATCACCCAAATTCTGTTTTCTCAGCCTCTGTACACCATGGAGATAGAGCATGGGGCAGGTGCAGAAAATGGGAACCCCCAGGAGACTCTGCAAAGGGATTGTTTGTGTATTCCTTTATGCTTTGGGTGGAAATGTTGGGAGGATATTTATGCAATTGGAAAGTGGCATCGAGCTGGGAGGGGCTGCAAGCCCCAAGGAAAACAGGATTCAGTCAGGGCTTGATGTCTTAGAAAAACAAATAGCCTGGAAACGGAGTTTGTTTCCATGAAGTCAAGTACGAGGTTTGATGGGCCTCCAGCTTGGCTGGGAGAGGTTCCACAGGAAGCACAAGGATTGCATTTGGGCACAGGCTGAATGTCATCCCAGTGCTGAGGTCCAGCAAAACAGGCAAAAATCCTGTGGGAATGTATGAACTGGGACAGCTTTTTGGTTTTGGGGGACAATCCAGCTTTACTCCCTACTGCTGAGGGCTCAGCAGGGGAATTTGGGGGGTTTTGACACCAATTTCATGAGAATGGGCTGATTAGAGAGAGTCCAGTCAGATCTGGCAGAAATAATCCCAGATCTTGAAGTTAGAGAATTACCAAGAAAGACTGAAGGAGGTCTTAAGATACATATTTATATAGACCCACACTTAGAAATAATGACTAATTATATATATATATATATACACACATATATATGTATGTATATATATAGTCAGTCATTATTTCTAAGTAGGATTTTGTGATGCTTCCTGGTGAAAGCTAATTAGATCCTCTCAAAGGAAAGTGAGGGAGAAGCACCAGAGAGGATTTCTGTGTGACACAGTAAAACAGATTAAAAAACTTTTTGCCACTTGTCTTTTTCCAGCCAAAGAAATTAAAGCAGAAAAATCACTCCTGCCTGTTCAGATCCATTGGCAGTGTCCTATGCCTTACCAAGGGCCAGTAATGAACTCTGGGATTACTTCAGTACCCTCCAAGAAGCATCATGTACTCCTTCCCTTATTATAAATGCTGCCATCTTTATAAATGCTTGATAAACAGCCTTTTTATCATTTTACATTCTTTCCTTCTCTGCAGGCTTACAATACATTGTAAGAAGTAGAAAGCTGTAACTGGAAATACAGCTGGTCTCTCCAGCCAGCCTGGAAGAGCACTTGGTGGGCAGGATTGGGTCCTGAGGAAGCAGCAGTGAGATGGAAACCCACAATTCTGATCCACAGCTCCCTGCTGCTGTCCTCACTGAATGGAACAATGAATGGAATAACAATTAATGTGCTTGTAACCCCTTTGGAGAACCACACAAATGCATTTTGTGTTCGCCACAGGGACCAGCCAAATTTCACACTCTGGGCACCTTTGCTTTCCTGTGAGCAGAAGAAAAGATTGATTTGAGCTTTTTAGGTAGGACTGCTGGGCTTGGGAAAGTTGATTTTCATGGCTGTTGTAGAGGAAATAATTTCTTTGGTTTAATCTTTACCCAAGGTGCCTTATGTGAAATGTTCCTTTCCTGTCTCACACCTCAGTTTACCTTTCCTTCAGGCACTTTGCAGGGAGTGCCCCTGCTGGTTACTGGGCTGTGAAAGGTGGAGTTAATCAGCTCAGGTGATAACTCTGTTAGCTCTCTGATAGGACAGGAGTGGGTGATTTGATTCAATTCCGAAGGGTGAGTGCTTGAGGTGAAAAAATGGAATCTACAGAAAGTGGGATCGGATCAGAAAGGCTCCCCAGGCACTGGAGCTGGGTTAAAGCTCCCTGAAATGAAGAACTTGCTCAAATATTTTACAGATGCTGCCTCAGTGCCCTGGCTCTTACAGCCTGATGCCTTCTGAATCAGAATTTATCTCTTCAGAAAGACTGAAAGAGAAACTACCAAGAAGCTTCATCCTCCTCTGAGGGCAGGACTGATTCCCTCAGAGTGAGGTACTTACAGCCTCTTTCCTTTATGTTTGTTCTTTGCAGAGTGGAAGCTGCTGGAATTCAGAAGTTGCCCTTCCTTCTCCTCTAGAAGATATGATTTCCAGGAAAGTGCTGCTGGCATCTCTTGTCTGCCTGGGTGGTGTTGCTGCAGTTATCTGGTAAGCATTTGCTGGCCAGCTGGGTCATACCTAAAACATCCTGTGTAGATCCTGTGGTAAAACTCCTAGAATAAATAAATAACTAAAATAAAGGCTGTGACGTGTAAGAAAGAACAGCAATTTGTGTAACAGATAAAGGAGAACTGGTAGAGGGAGAAGGCCCTGAGGGAAAGAGGAAAAAAGAGCAACTGGGTCCAAATCAGGCACTGTAGTGACTCACAAACAAATGCTTGAGTATAGAATATTCCAGTTGCATTTCAGCTCAGGCCTTAACAGAGGTGATTATCTGTCTCTTCACACAGTCCAAACTCACTGCAGTGTCACCAGGGACAGCTTTGTAACTATCAGACATCAGAGCTTTCAGCCACTGACAATTTTGTGCCTGAATATTCTGACAACTGAGTATGACTTCTAGATTATCTGGAGCAAACTCAAACATCATTGGAAGGGAACCTGAGATAAGGCATTTCTG